AATCAGAGTTTCAGCAAAAAGAAAAAGATAAACATAGAAAGGACCTCTGAAATTTGGTGGCATATGGATGGCAGAACAAAGACTTGAATATGATATTTTGTGATGTTACTTCTTTCAGGGAAAAAAAATGTAACAAAAGGAACATCTCTCATATATCATGAAAACTAGCTAGTAACATAAAAACCAGATACGACCTTTTAACTTATGTTTGGCAGCAAACCAATAGAAAACAAAATTGTAATGATGTAGAAATGAATAAAGAAAAACCTGATTGCCATATACTCTAGAGATTTGCTCCAAGCTGCTTTTCCCCGTCTTTACCTGATACACAGAAAGAACTGTATAGTGGGGAAATAGCTGAACATTGTAGGGAAAAATATAATACATACACCAGTTTGTAAAAAGGCTTCAGCAGCATAAACAGCATCACTTCCAATTGAAATTTTGTCAGCACCAGACCTGAAATATTCTGATGCTACTTCCAAGCTTGAGTAGTATCTGAGAAGAAATGTACACGATTACATGGATATATTTTTCCCGTCTCAGTATTAACTAAAACAACAACTGCTACCCATTGCTAATTTAGTTGGAGCCAAAAGTTTCCGTCAAAAAAAGTTCGAATCAGAAGACAGGAAACATGCAGAGTTGCTACGGAATCAAGAAACAAGATGACGAGATGAGAAACTGTCTCACACCTAGAACTTTGGCGAAAAACCAAGAATATATAAAACAAGCCTATTCAGATAACAAAATAAGGAAATTGGGATCAACTTCAATAAATCTCTCTAATGAAGTTAACACAATATTTAATAAAACTATCTTAGCAAGTCAACAGGAAAACTAGGTTGCTAAGCAGATAGTTTCTGGAATCCCCATTGCTCAAGAACATAATAGGACAAATAACCTTCCATTTGCATCTGTGAAGTCTCGTATGCCCCCACCAACTGTAAGTGGCACAAAAACCTTTTCAGAGGCACAACGCAGTACCTATTGGAGATCCCATGTCAGCACACCAGACAAAGGGGTGTATAAAGAGTAAAGACAACAATTGGAGGCTACAGGTCTTAAACAAACCTCTAGCATTGGCAAATCACCCAATGGAAAGTCACGGAAACCAGTTATATTCAAGAAGCTGACCTAAGGGGAAACGATATTCATGATATCCAGATAATTAAGTTTACATAAAGAAAATTACAACATGAAAAAAAAGCTTATGCAGAAAAGTACCTCATCAGCACCATCTATGTAGTACTGACTTGCTAAATCGACTGGCTTGCCAAGGTTTCTTACCTATGAGCATGTGATGTAAATATGAACGATTGATGAGAAAGCTGCGTATCAGCCAAAATATAATAAAATTGACTTAGATTATTCTCATTTTAATATATCCTTGAGAAATGAACTAAGCCTAAAGTATCACCTAGAACTAGGCCAAAGGTTCCACCTGGAGCTAATCCTGATGTCTAAGAAGTTTTAACCACACTTAGCACTAATGAATAAAGATGTGTACCTCTTTGCTGCTAGTATGATCTCTTACATCATACTGATCGCCCTTTGTTACCACAAGATCTCCTTTATCATTTGAACGAACATCAAGGCATGCTATCACCTGTACGGTTTAAGAGAATAAGAAGGATGGCAATCTAAACTGTGGTACACACTGAAACATTGACAATACAAAGCTTACTCTCTTCGCAAGTTTTGATGCTTTCCTACGTGTTGGGACCTACATTGCAGATATAAGTATGAACTTAATATTTAGTATACATCAAACAAAAAGAGAGTGCCTACTAGAAACAATTTTACTATTACCTTGGTCCCAGAAGAGATAGGACTGAGAAATTTTTTTAGAATAGAAAGCCCGGTAGCTGCACAACGGAAAAGAATGTTTATATGATTACTAAGTTTAAACTTAGGAATCCAAGTGTCAACTGCTACATCTGATCACAAATACAAGTCCATTCATTAATCATGATTGTTGCAGGTAAACTCTTTTTAGCTTTGACTATTTCAATATCAATATCTAAAAAGTCATAAAGATGGACAACACGATATTAATGTTAACATATCGAACAAGAAAAAAAAATCCTTCCATAGACCATAATATAAAACTCTTTCTATTTGAAATATTATGTCCATATATATTGCGAATCAAGGTGACGTATTGGAGACCATGTTGCTGTCCTAATTGACTTAGGGCCTGCTTGGATCCTTTGCCCAACCTTGCTGGGTAAGAATATGTGTTTGGTAGCAGCTTTAGAAAGTAGATTTGCTGGGCGAGCTTGCTTGTCTGAGCAAGAAAAGGCTTGCTGATCCAGCCATCCAGGCGAGCCAAATTGATTGTCTGGCCTGGGAAAGAAACGCCCCAGAGTCAGATCCACTCTGCACGTTGAGTGAAACACACACTACCACCAAGCCACTTACTCTTTCGTCCTTGCTTCACGTAAAGGGATAATCCAGAGATGGTGGTATGGACTCTAGAAGCCCTATATGTTGATCTAACCCACCCTCAACAACAAAGGTTGGATTCCATTTGGTGCAGCTCCTACGACAGCTCCTCCACCGGCTTTGCGTATGGAGGCGGAGCCACGAGAACTGGCTTCGCCCAAAGGGCTCCGGCTCCAGGCCGTGGAGCGCGCACGGAGAAGCCGCACCAAACGGGCCCTAACCCCCACCCAACCTCACATCAATATACACATGGGCCACTATGGGCCAAATCCAAACTGGGTCGGATGTCACATTCTAACACTAAACAGGTTTCATGAGCTAACCACCTTCTTGCATCACTAGCCAATGGGACATGATAACTGTTTATTCCACTATTTTATACGAATGCACTTGATGTCTCAAAAGCATATCCTTCCTACTGCTCTTCAGCTCCTGTAAAAGCACCGAACAAGCTTGCCTAACCTTTGCTCAGCAAGGCTAGGTAACCCTTGCTCTGCTGGCCATCCTTGGCAAAAGAACCAAGCAGGCCCTTATATTTAAGGTCAGATGGAGTAAATATTTACCTCCGCTCTTTTCTGGGTGAAATTGAACTGCCTGAACGTTGCCCATTGAGATGGAGGATATAAAGCTGTCACCATAGTTGCATATCGAGGAAATCCAGTCTCTATTAGCATCTGACTAAGCATGTAGAAAGAAAAGAAGAAGTCACACCTCATGAATCAACCAAAGCACGTTAATCTAAATGGCGCCGTTACTTGTTACTTACAGGCAGTACGTGGTAGGAGTGAACAAAGTACACATGTTGGCCATCAGCTCCCTGCAGCAGTGGTGTGTCCTTGGTGATCTGGAGAGCGTTCCAGCCAATATGTGGAACTATGAGGCCATTTGAGGAGTCGAATCGCCTGACCACGCCCGGTATCACACCAAGGCCGCTCACTGTGGCAGTAAATGCAAAATCAACCACACTGTGACAGTAAATGCAAAATCAACCACAGTACCGTTCATCCATACTCCAAAGCTTAGTGAGCAAGTCGCAGACGAGGTGGGGTCGGAGAGTGAGGAGAGCTTACCCGGGCCGTTCTCCTCGCTGGAGTCGAAGAGCAGCTGGAGACCGAGGCAGATGCCTAGGAAGGAGCGATCCCTTTGGATGTACTCACGGAGTGCGTCGGCCATGCCCGTGCTGTTGAGGACGTCCATGGCGGAGCCGAAGGCGCCGACACCGGGAAAGACGAGCCGTTCCGCGGCAAGGATGTCCTCCGGGCTCTCCACGTCGCGGATGCCGAAGCCGAGGTGGCGGATGGCGTTGCGCACGCTGCGCACGTTCCCCGCGCCGTAGTCCAGCAGCGTCACCGCTGCGGGGAGGCAATTTTAAGCGAAACGCAGCAGTCAAGCCATGGCTCGAGCCCTAGGAGGGAAAGGGAAGGAGGCGTGGTTCGCAGCGCTTACTGTTTGCACCGGAGGACGCACGGACGGAGAGGGAGCCGGAGCCGCATCCGCGGGGCTGGCTGCTCCGCTTCGGGCGGCGGCCCGCGGAGCAGGGGACGGTGAGGATGGCGGCGACGGTAGCCATTGCTCCCTGCGCCTGCAGCGGCGGCTGCATTCGTCCCCTTTCTCTCCAATCAATCGACGCTAATGCCACGCAGGTACGATGGAGGTGGCGACGAAGGAGGTGACTGGCGACGCCGGAAGGGGACGTACGGCGGCGGCGGGGAGGTCGTGCTCAGAGACACGTTCACGCGGTCACTCAAGGGCCTCAATGTCTCGGCGCCCTAGCGGGCCTTTCTTTTGCGGGCCTCCGCTGACGCCCCGCTGGCCCGGTAGGCCACTTTTAGATAACGGAATAAATAGACGTTGGGCCTCAATGGCCTAGCCAGAGTAATGATTTTCAGCAGAAATTATTATTTTCCCCTAAAAAAACAGAAACTATTATTGAGAAAATGGTAAGCATGAAATAATAGAGTATTGATGAATATTCTTGAGAAAATGGTAAGCATGACACAACAGAATCTATCACGATTTTCAAAAATAGTGCAAATGGACGAAACAAAACGGAGCACAATGTTCACGCAGGTATACTAGTCGCTCTTTTTAGCACTGGGAGTCTGGGACCGCCAACTTCAGTGGAATTACTATTAGGTCATACGTACGGTACACTAAAGGCATAGATAAACATGGTACGGTATTTTTACTAAGCTTGATCATAAATGAAGTTGATGTACATACCAGAGTACCCAGACAGACCGACAAATTATTTGCAAGCGCACTTTGGCTTTGTCCCAGAGTATTGTGTATTTGGAGATAACAGTACAAACCAGGTTGGTCGTCGGTGTCGCTACAAAACTTAACATATGAATCATCATGATGAAGGCACGATTTACCTGTGCAATTTACAAATCAAGTTACTCTATAGCTAGGTAGTCTGTCCATTGTCCAATCGAAGTTTTCTGTCACTGCCTGCAATCCTACATGAGCATCGATCGTGGCAGCTGGACTTGTCCCACTTCGATGGCACAATGCTTTTGTGAGCTTGTGGCCTAACAAAGATGCAAATTCTACTTCTCAGATGAAGTCTCAGTTTTCGGAGGAGCTGTCTGCCTCTGGGCCTGGGAGCGACCCAGATCTAAGTTTTGCATCTCACTGGCAAGCAAGGCCCTTCTTTCTTTCAGAAAGTTGAGTCGAGTAGTCAGCTTGGCTAATGCTGAGGATGGTGCGGCCCCAGATTCCTGATAATAGAGTGGCATTAGTAACTTCAAGTCAAAGTGGCATCGTTAACATAATCTTATCAAGAGACAGAAAAGGGTGATTATGGTGACCCAGGGTAGTAAAATCAGTGTTTATTATGGTGCAGAATGTGATCACCTCGGTTTTAGTACTTGAATAGACATTTGAACCTTGAACCCTGCTCGTAACTGGACTATTTGAGTGCGGTCTCTGTGCAAAGTTCCATCTTGATGTAAGTGATCCGTCTTGGCCGTCCTTCCCAATCTCACACTTTGAATACAACATCTTCTGAACCATTTGGTTTGTAGCCCAGAACATGTCAGGTACAGAATTAGACCCTACAATTGGTTGTGCTTCGACTGAGGAGCCAATCTGTGGAGAAAGGCTGGCATTTTGTTCACCTCTGCAGAAAGGGAGGCCAATTATGTCTCAACCAAGGATTCTAAAAGGAGGCAAATATTATGAGCAGTGAGAAAGTAATATTGAATGCTTGGCAGTAAAACCTTACTCGACAAACTTGTCTGCATTTATGTATCGCTTGCTGTTGCATGATTCACATAACGAGGTGGAACTCAACTGGACTTGGTTGTTGAGTTGTCCCCGAAGATCAGAAACCTTTTGCTTCAAGTTCATAATATCAGCTTCAGCAGCAGCAACTTCCTCAAGATCTGCCTTAGTCTATTATCAACAAAAAGAAAAGAAAAAAACTTCAAATGGCGAAAACCATTATCTATCTCAATAGCCAGATTCAGAAAGGGTACCTTGGTGTCTATCGTTGACGGGAAGGACACTTGTCCTCTTCGCATATTCATTAGCCCAGACTCCAATGAAGCCCTCAAATTTCTCTCCTTCTGCAACTGGTCTCGTAAATTTTCCACCTGTTGAATGTGCAAAGTATTCTTGTTGAACAGAGAAAAAAGCAGAACATTGCAAGCACAACAAACAATTTCCAGAAGCATGTAAATGCAGCATAGTTCTGAGTCAGAACTCCCTGTATAGAACAAATATGAAACAGGAGCGACTGAGAAATCAGAAGGCAGCTGAAATACAGGGAGAAGGATGGAAAAATCCACCTGTTAAGTTCGTGTTCTATACTTCTATCTCCAGTGCCTACCAATGAGTGAACTCTTGGTTTTTCTTTTGGTCAAGGGTCAGGTTTCTTAATGTGCTAGTGAGAGGTTCTGTACTAAGGTTGAGTGTGATGTGAGTGTGTGGGTGTGGGTTTGTGTGTGGTGCTGTAAGACCACCTTTTTTCATTCTTCTTAATATAATGATACACAGCTCTCCTGCGTGTTAGAGAAAAAAAAAACTTCTATCTCCAGTGTATAGAAGCAGACTATATGTGCCAGATGGATACATGGCTATGACAAAGTGACATTTTAATATTTTATTAATGGTTTATTAAATGGCATTGCCCTCACCCCTGCCTCTGCACCCAAACATTACCATGCTAGAAACTTTTTTTATCTGAAGGAAGAAATAAACTGATGCTTCACTGTGGCACCATGTTCAAATCCTTTGCTGACCATGGCGATAACCCAGGTCAAGTAAAGAACCATACGCTTTTGATAAATGTGAGGTAAAAAAGTTGGCTGCAAAGGAAAACCTAGACCTACATAAAAGGGCGCACCACCGGCAACCTCCTTAGTGGTTGTTTCTCGTAGTGCGGAGTTTGTTTGTTTGTATGCTCTCACGTGCTGAGGCATGCATCCGGTGTCTTTTGGGCTTTTGCCCCTCCCTGTACATATAACTCTCTTCTTCCTAATTGAAAGGCAGAGCTCCTGCCACTTACGTTCAAAAAAAAGTTGGCTGCGTAATGACATTAGAACATCCAATAGAATCAGAACTTCATTCAGTTTGTTGTTATCAGGGAGACATTCCTACAACAATAAAACATGATTGCATTGGATAAGTTTGGGCCGCAAGAAGATGTTTGTTTGGAATGTACTCATACTTTAAAAAGGGAAAAAAAGAAGAAGAATCATGTTAAGATATTGCATATCGTTTGTCCTGGGCATCCAAAATGACAAGAACAAACAGCAATCTGACCGAGTACCATGACCATGCCTCGAGCAAACTGCAGGGAGTCCATTTGCTGACTCTTAAAACATGAGTAAGGATCAATTTATTTCAAACTTATTAGGCTATAGCTTGGGTTTGGATGTTTGGATAGTACTTGCAGCATAACTGCTAGTAGAACAATCTCACCTTCAACATAATGCATGATATCTTATGTCTTTCTTAATTATTTAAGTTCAAACCCTGCCTGGTAGGAGTATTCTCTTTCCAGAACAGCAGCAGCAGCAGCACCACCACCACCACCAACAACAACAACAATAATAATAATAAGCCAGGCCTTAAGTTCAACTCTTACTTCTTTTTCAAGTGCTACACGACGCTCATGTAGTGCTTCTTTTCGCCTTTCTAAATTTGCCTGGAGGACTGTATTTTCTTTTACCTGAAAAATAGAATCATCTTACATGGAAGAATGTTATGTTACATGATTTTCGTGTGATCCTAGGGAAAAGGTTGTACCTCCTCTGTAAGTTTAGATTGGAGATGGGTCTTCTTGTTTTCAAGCTTCGCAATATGAGCCCTAGTTCAGAAGCTGAATTAGAAAAGAAAAGGCAGCTCAAAATAATAACAGATGTAAATTCTAAAGCTGACTTGTATTTTTATCTTTATAAGTTTCCATCTGTCCTTTTTAATATATTTTTATTTAGAGTGAAAGGTAACAGGAAACTGTTAATAGTTAGCAAAGTTCATAAAACCTACAAATTTTGGAGAATCAAAGGGCAAATGAACCTATATGCAGTGAAAGAAAAAAAAACTTTCTATGTATGAATTGAAAAGCAAGTTTGTATTTTATATGCACTACTCATCCTACAAGTGGGAGTTGAGAAGAATGGAAAAAGGAATATAACCTTTTTTTAGCTAAAGGTGGTTTGGTCCATAGCAGTCAACCATCACATTCTTTTTAATCACACCAACTAATAGAACTGGGCAACCATGTAAGAGCAGAAATAGTTTATTCCCGTTACTAAATCCTAACAGTGGGCTATTCCAGTTATTCTCTTTGGGACGTCATGTGATGAGTTCTTGGTTGCTGAGGAGAACTAGCCAAACAACAAACAAAAAAGAATTTGCTGCTTTTAGGAGATGTCTATAACTCTTCCGATACATAGCACATGCCCAGTTGCATTGCATATAAGGCTACTTACTCATCGTTATCACTGCAACAGCCAGCCTCCTCTGTTGACAAGCCTTTTCTTGCCTGTAAATAAAGTGTTTCATCCAAACTGTAGGATAACACTAATTCTAATACACAGAATTATGTGAATAACAATTAAACTTACTGAAGTACGCCCCCATGAGTTCCTTTTGCTTACTGACGAATGAGCATTTTGTTTTTGTATATGATCTGTGGATGAACTGTTGCTCTGCATTTTAGATGTATCATCCACTTTTGGAAGAGAAGAAATTTGATTACTGTCTTCCATGACCCTTGCAGGAGGTTGAACAACTTTATCATTGTCATCACATGTAGTGCTCGAGATATTGTTATTAACCTATGGGTAATGAGAAATTGTAAGGGCAACAAACAGGTTGCAAGGGCATTTAATGAGAAAGGAAAGTTTATATGTTTTAAATTTTTAAAATGTAACATAGTAATTTCAGACTTCGTGCAGTGTTATGCATAGAATCTTAGTCTTATCAATATAATTTCCAAGAATATTGAGTTACTGCGACCATGATTTTTCTCATCTTAGAATGAAATTAGATGGTTTAAGAAGATGCCTAGAGTAATCCCTTCAGTCAAGAAAAGAAAGGCCTTTTTTGTCTTTTCAGAGTAAAAAGAATGCTATTTTAACCACTAATTTTTCAAGAGTGTGATTTAGAAAAAGTATTTCACAAAAAAAAATCACCCGCGTCATTTCAGATGTCACGAGTGATTTTCTCATGGCTGCATGCATCCTATAGAGTTGCTGTCTGAATGAAATACATAATAGCAGTCTATAAAGATGTATCTTATTAGCATTGCAATTATATGCTACCTTCAAATACTGAATAAATTGCTGACACGTGTTACCAGAACACAATTAATGGGATTTTGGACTATCGGTTGAATATGAAAGCATAAAATCTTCAAGTCAGTTCAGATACAACAAATAACTAGTTGAGTTCTTCTTAAGAGACTGTTTATTGAGTCTCCCTGAGATATACTCGCCGGTGGAGGTAGTTGCTACTCAGCCAACCAGGTTCAATTTGCACCTCCCATATATATGATGATGCTAGGCCAGACATCTCTCCCCCAAGGCGAGTTTTTCTTCTTACAGCATATCATCATGTGCAATTGAGAATAAGCTTCAGTGTTGGTTTATGCACATCAAGAAGGTACTGCCTGATGAATGAACATGCTCAACATATAATTTACCGGTTCAAGTCTTAAGTTATGTACAATGGGGAAGTTTTTATAGCCAATAGTGAGGATATTTGCAAAGGCTTTTGTTTAACCAATCAATTAGCATAACTTTGTTTGTACTAGGATTACTTGTTATTGACATATTCTGCTAAAAATGATCCTACAAAAACACAAGGTCAAGTAAGAATTCAATGAATGAGGCCCATTTGACTGCTGACTTCACATTAAATTTACTTTAGATAAGGACTAGGATAAGGACTTATGTCCAGAACAGCAATTTCTGTTCCGTAATGAAATTACTGCTTCTATTGAAAATTTAACAAACACAATCTGATAGCAACATATCAACTAGATAGAGGTCACAAAGCTGTTGCAATATGAACTATTGGTACAAGTGGGATTTTTTAAAGTTCTGTCTTGAAGTGTTTGTTAGGTGAAGCATTTTTTTCCTGGTTTCTTTTAGCAATTTTCTGTTAGTTTATGGAGGGAGGGCCAGAGACCACCACAGAGTTAGTTCATAAAGCATCTTCTCCTTTTATTCTCCTTCAGATACTGTCTGAGGTGGATTAAAAACGCTATGGAACAGACTGTCTCTAATAGTACAATATGATAAGATATTCATTCTAGGGAAAGTTAGTACAAAATCTTGTTGATTTTTTAAGGGTCTCCAAGGTACAATTTTGAAAAGTGAATTTTGTCACATAATAAGTTAATGACCAGTGGAGGAACTTTTGACAGAAAACCAGAATCCATAAAGATTTTTTCAAGTAGATAATTTAGAATTTCTTTTTAACAAAAATATTGTTGGTGAAAATGTTTCTTCTTAATATAATGATATGCAGATCTCCTGCGTGTTCAAGAAAAAAAAGTTGGTGAAAACGGAAAATGTTTTACCAGGTCTGTGAACACTGAATGGTTATGTTTAGGAATGCTAAAAGCAAGACAATGAATAGCATGATAAAAACAAGATATCGATCATAAAGGTTTACAGGAAAAGAGATATCCTCCTTTCGATAATATTAGAAAAGAACCCAGTGATTAGATGAAGTACCTTATCATCAGCATTATCAATCCTAATGTTACTATCACATTCAACCCTCATGCCAGAAGAGTGTTCAGTATCATCATTTAAATCTTCTTCAACATCTTCGCCAGAACCATAGGAACCATCGTCTTCAGGGATGTCATTGTCTGTCGAATATTCCTTGTCAATGTCAGACTCGGTATAAGCATCTGAAGAGTACGAACCGTCTTCAATATCCTAAACAGGTAATTGTTGGATTAAAATCCATAACAATACAGTACGGATTCAAATGGAGCGAGTTTGCAAAGAAAAGCATGTCCAGGGAAAAGCAGGTACATCAAATATCTGATCATATTCCTCAAGCATAATAATAACAATAGCTTGAGCATGGTTGGCAGCAGCAGCAGCTTGAAGCAACTGGAATGAACCATCCCCAGCCATACTGAATTCACTATCAATTTCACATTCACCAAGAAGAAGAGGACGCAGAAGAAGCGGTGCCATGCAAGCTGCCAAAGCAGATGGAGACATCCTATTTACAGCTTTGTGTGATCCAACAATCTGCATCATTTTGAGAATCCTAAAAGAAAAAGCAATGAGTCTCATGGATTTCTGCGATTATCAGTTTACCATACAGTCTAAAGGAAACTATTAAATATGAAAAAAACCATGTACATATTCTTCAAGAATGAACATAGACAGTAGGGGTCATGACACCACGAACATTACTTGTGCAGTCTACAATTTGGTTTATAACACATTGGAAACAAACCATTATAGGTAGATACCTCTGCAACAATTGACGATTTGATTCTGGGAATACTTCATATATCACTCTATTCATAGCATCAAGTCTTTTTGTCTTGTCAGTTCCTGTACAACCGTTTGTTTTGATCAGTTTATAATTTTTAGCATAACACAATGTTAGTAGATAAAGGATTAAGCTGGTATTTTGGTATGTACTCCATGAAAGGTAGTTAGGCACTGAAAATCAAGATGGGGCACATTGCTGAAAAAATAAGTAAGTTTCAAGTCAGTCTTACGGTAAGCTCTAACCAGGGCAGTGCAACATGGTGCCGGAATTGGAGAAGATGGCATCTCTCGAAGAATGCACTGCAGTGAATGAGAATCAACAAACATTGCTAAAAGAATAGAACCACAGTTTATTCCTATTGTAGATCATAGTAAATGCTTGTCAAATAAATACCTTAATACAGTCACCAATAACATGCGCATCCTCTTCTGGGGAGAACTCGTTCTTTCCTACAAATTCATATTGAAAGATGTGATTTTAAACACATAGCTAGTAAGCCAGAGGAAATACAACTCTCGGGTTATCCAAACTTACATCCTCCCAAACTAGCTTCATGAAAATATGCATGGATATAATAAAAAGAAAAATAACTTACTAGAACTACATACAATAAGCTCGTGGTAAGACACTGCGAAGTGCCAAACCTAGTTATCTTTACTTAAAAGGTAAAATGGTCAAAGTACAATAACTCACCCTTTTCGTAATCCTGAACCCTGCGTTTGACTTCTTCAACATCAGCAGACTGACGGAGAATTCCTTCAACCTTCACACCTACAAAGGGAAAGGGGGGGGGGGTCCACTTGTCATTGAACATCAACTTGGTAATGCTGTACTGAATATTTATTTCACAAGGATATTTATTTCACAAATTCGTAACTACCGGAAATTCCAGGCAAACATGTGTATTGAATTATTAAAACATGGAAAAAGGATTTACCATAATCTTCAATGAACTTTAAGGCCTTCTCCAGGAATGCTGTATTGCCATCAGCATCGACAAGTGCAAATTCTGCTGGTCTGCCGATTACAGACTTATCCTCCGCTGCAATGGATCGAATTTGCTTACTTGTATTCCAACTCCATGATAAGATTCAGTCCCTCCCCACCAAATCACAGTAAGAAAGAAATAGACAAAAACAACTATTCCAAATATTGTAGTCTCAAGTTCCATTGTGAGAAGTCTCTGGTTTTAATATGTCAGCAAATATATACTGCATTATCTGACATCTGATGCAAATTTTCATTTTTTTTATGCCACCTGTATTATATGTATACATGGTAGCTTGGTGTGTGTATCCCATCTTGGTCCATGAGGCCCAAAATCTATTTATATATACTCATGGATAATGGATGAATGGTGCAATTGTAGATATCCTCCATTCTCTTTTTTACTCTTGAGATGACTGGATGCAGTGATTTTGATGAAATATGTAAGGTACTTCATGTATATTGACTAACAAATGATTGGCCAAGCCCCTGTAGGGAGCATGCAACTTGATTAAGTTAGTGTCCTAGAAAACTCTGGTTTCTAAGTACAAGCACAAACAAACAGAATCGAACAAAGAATTGGAATGTTTATTTGGCACAGAGTCATTTTTCGCAGCATAAGTCATTTTCATCCAGGCCTTACAGAACTTCTAAATCAACAACACATTAAGGACATGTAAAACGAAGGTAGCTGAACACAAATTGGAACAGTATCAACCACACTTTTACAGGCACAGCTATCAGAAATGAAAAAGACAGGAGTCAATAGCTATTTTCTCGAACAATCAGGAGAGTTGTGTGTCATTTCATTAAGAAAGGAGATAAAGTACAAAGGGAGGAGCCAAGAGCTATCAATTTCTGTTAGGAATTGATATATCCATTGAAATTTTGAGTAGCCTACTGTTTCCCCAAAAAAGTCGAATTTCTTTTGGTCTAGAAATTATGACTTATTAGTAAGTAAAAGAGAGTCATACATGCAACTTATGATAAAGTAAACATAGCTTACCTTGTTCAACAGCAGCTTCAACAGGTTCTGTTATGTCAGTGCTGACTATCGGATGTTGTCCCGCTGTATTCGCAACACTGGGTGCCTGAGCCAGAGCATTCTCCAATGCACTTCTCCACTCATTTAGGTCTTCTGTAGTTTCTGCCTGCTTGATGAAAAATCACACCATTAAATCCCTAGATGATACCATGAGCCTTATTAATTATTGTTGGACACCCACATTGCAACCCCAATCCCACTGACGCACCTGTTGCCCCACTAGTCACTGCAGCAGTAACATTGTTACACACTCCCAAATGCCAACCCTCCTAATAGTAACTAAGAAACTGAACCGCGGTACACAACCAACCTTAAGGGTGAAAGTGCGCCCATCACGGCCATCAGGAAAGACGACTGTTATAACTTTCCTTTCTTCTTTGACTATCATACTGAAACATGCACAAGATATAAGCTTATAAGACATTATTGAAGGAGATTTATACTTCAACAAATATCAGCATTAAATTCATACCTTGCAGTGTTATTCAAGTCAATTCCACCAAGTGTAACAATTGGTTCACTTCCTTTGGGAGGGGGAACACTCTGCAAGTAAATCAGAAAATTGGGGATAATTGCAATGTTAGTGCATAACCTAACATTTCAGTTTGAATAAATTACTGAGCCAAATCCATAGAAAATTTCACCAGTTTTACATGTAGCTGCAATCATGTTTAGCTCTTGAAAATGGTTACATGCACAGCCATTAGTAGAATTATTATTTTGTTTTTTGCACAGAATCAAACTATAGTACCAGTGTACCACTTCACTTATAGTTATAGGTTCATTCAGCTTTCCTGTACACTATGTAGGTATAGTGAATAATGATACAATGACCTATATCAAATCAGGATGCTAGTTTGTAGTTCATCTGCTACGGTGCTAACAGTGGGTATACCTTGCTTTACTTGATTACAGATCAGGTAAATCTAAGCAAGCAGATGGGGATAGTGAGCAACACAAACTTCTTGTTAAAAATATTCTGTAGAGTTTAGGTGTAGATGCTAAGAGTTGGATTCATATACTTACTCTTCCTCAAAACAAATTTGTGGAATTTATATACCAAGTTTCATAAGGCTAACAAAACATCAGAACAGAAAAGATCAAACGAGATCTGATCAGGGTGTGAGGGCCCATTGGGTATACGACGAGGTACAGTTTGTAGCTTCCCCAGCTGGCATCCTACCCCTAGTTGAACTGTGTGCCATATAGTATAGGTATCAAGGGGTCTAACCCCACTGGATAAAGGTATCTCATCACCTAATGTCTTCTTTCAGAATACACTTCATCTTGGAGTGTGCTTTATTACAACAAAATTTATTCTAGTCCAAACAACAATTTAAATTATTCATAGCATTGTAAGTTTGTAACTGAAGCAAAGAGACACAACAAAGTACATTTTCTACAAAATGGTATTAGTATTAGATTAATTAGTTAAAGAAAAGGGAAACAGTATAGAAGGAATGATAACAATTCATCTTACAGGATCGCTCCTGAAGAACACTAACGATGTCCTTGTAAGAATAAACCAACGCTTTTTCCATACTGTCCAGCCAATCCCTGTAAGCTATCCAATTTAATGAAATGGGAAGCATAGAGTAGACAGAAATATGTAAAACTTCATGTTGAAACAGAAGTGGTCAGATGTAAAGATGACAGAATGAAGCAACCAAGTTTCTATAAAAGGTTCCACATTAAAAAGGATCAGGTGAAAGCAGAAATATCCTGACCCACCTAATTAAACTGCAAAGATAACATCCCCTGTTAAATGTAGTGAAAATATGAAAATTCTTATTGTTCTATGTTGGCCTGTTGGGCTAAGTATAGGTGTAAGCAACATGGACAACTATCCTATAGACGTTCCACCATTTTTCTTGAATACGCAAGAGGGTTGTGCATCATTTCATTAAGAAGAAGAGTACAGGGGTTTCAGCTTTCCTGATGTTGATGCATCAGGGTAAATATAATTTTTGCTACTAAAGATCCTAAGATTTACCACATATCTCTATAAAAACATATATACACTTTTAGTGGTGCACCAGGGTGGATTTGCTGCTAGCTTCACCCCTGGAAAAGTATAGTACAAAAATACAAAGACAACACACACACATTCACCCCAATACCAACAGCTGAGACTTGACCAAAACTTGTTTGACCCTGTGCTATTTTCAGGTCCTTAAACTTGCTTCCGGGTCTCATCCACGTCCAAAAAGGGCCTAACCCGCTCTGTATGCTGATGTGGTGGACCCGACATGTGTCCACATGTCATGTCCACCATTCCTCTCATGTGGGACCCATCCATCAGTAGAATATATTTCTATTTTAATTTTTCTCTTCTCTCCTTTTCTCTCGCCCTCTTCTCTCCCACCCATCGACTCAGCCATCTCTCCCTCACTCTGCTGTGCACCGCCGGCGCAGCTGCCTCCACGTCCAGCCCCGACCTGACATGTGGGCCCTCACCCGCATGGGGGCCTCGCTCGGTGGCAGCATGGATCCATTCTCGGTCCGTGCAGCGCCAGCCAGCCAGAGGCCCAGCTTGCCTCGATGTGGCGCCCACGGTCTGAGGCCAAGCTCGCCTGCCATGCTTCGCCCGCAGTCAGCCTCGCCCCATCCGCAGCGTCCGCAATGGATCCACCAGCGGCGCCCGCGGCTGTCCTCGCCTCGCCCCCACCAGTGGCGCTTCGTCTGTGGTGGCCCCCAATTGTAGCGCCTGCAGCGTCCCCACGCCTGCAGTGGCCTTGTCAGCGGCACTCGCGGTAGCCACGCTTGAAGATACAGATGGAGAGAGAAAATGGGAGAAAAAGAATAAACACATGGAGTGGGTTGAGCCACTTTTGGACCCAGATGAGATCCGAAACCAAGTCTAGGGAGCCAAAATAATATTTTGGGAGTACAGGGACCCGGAAGAAACCCCTTGCCAAGTTCAAGGACCAGCCGCGAATTTTACTCGTGTTATCTACCTTTTATATGTAATCCACTCTGCTGGCTGATATCCTATCATCTAAAAATCATGGCATATAACAATACACATCACAATACACAATACAGTTTGCCATGGTTCCAAAATCTGCACGATGAATATTCTGATACACATAAGATATTGAGATTACTGCTACGACTTCTCAAGATGTACGTTTTTCTGTCTTCCGTACTTGAAAGCTCGACCATTGGTAAATTTAGAAGTTAGAAGGTTATGTTGGTCTAATTTTAGACCGTCAGAAGGATAATCATCCTATGTCATATACATATGAAAATGTTACCACAAGTTAACGTAGCCATGTGAAAACAGAATTTATGCGTAGTATCAGCAAGAAATAATACCTTTAGATGAGAGCAGTAAATTTCCACTCTTAAGAACCTGCAGTAAAAGAATATGTGGATTCTGAATTAATAGTGTTTATGCAGTTGTCCGATATGACTAAATGCTCGTTGAAGTGCAACTGAGACTTAGGAACGGTAAATCTGAAGTAAGTGATGCATAGCTCTACAGTGTATCACTTGCCCTAGGAAATCTATATCTATATATATATTTCTTATAAAGCTAATCTCCACTGCAAGTCTATCTCAACATGCAAGACATCCACATCATCCTCCACTAACTATCCACATCATCTCCCACTAATAGCCATGTCATCCCATTAACTTCCAACCTCTTAATTGCAAGATATCCACATCAGGAATGGGCGGGGTATCTTCTAGTTATAGAACATTGAAAGGCCATTGGGAGAATGCCCTTTGCGTCTTTGTTTTTATGTACAACCAAGCACAGCTTTGTGAAAACACATTTTTTTTAACTGCAAGAAAATCCAACGGACCTGACAGTTTGGACAAGTTGTCGGTGAATTTTCACCAGCGTCAGATTTATTAGTGATCTGAAAGTTAGAGTCTCCCGACCCACATCGGCAGACCTTGAGTTGACCGACATTCTCAGGGGACTGTGAAGATGATACCTGTCAAGAATATGAAACAAAGCAGGTTAAATTAATACTCAGAAAAATGCAACAATCCAAGGATGCAAGACCTTTTGGAACTTCAGTTTAATTAAAAAGAGGAAAAGTGCAACCTTTTTACATGAGCAATTATGTGTATATACTGTTAGCAAAAACAATCTCGAGAGCAAATCAGAGAGAACAGTGGTACCATTCCAGTAGAACAATGAACTATATGAATAACATAACAGCCATTTTACCCGTTGATCAACCAAACTGAGCTCTATCAACTCGCTTTGTGTTGCAACATTACATTAATCCAGTATCTTTTAAGTGAAACTAAGAATCAACTGAACTTCACTAAAGTGACATGGTAAAGTCCAATAAAAACTACTAATAAATTCACTAACAGGATCAGGACATGGAAAAGATAGGCGAATTAAGAATGTAAGTGAAACATCAAACATATGCCCCCCCTTACTTGCTGGTAAGAAGTCCTGAATTCCGGAGCTGACATTTTGTGCTCTAGGTTGCTGACTTATGAAGACCTCAGGATGATTTCTGTCCCACCGATAAGTACAGTGTTACTAATGATGATTTCATTAGAGTTATTCTATGCAGGAATAATAGAAAAGAAAGAAACTACCAGGTTACAACAGGAAATCATGTTTCAGTGGTTTTCTGTTGGAACCTGGTAATATGGATGAATTTTTAAAAATTTGAACTAGCTTTATAAATTCTTTGAGTAATAATCCTCATGCATAAACCCCAATTCCCCATGTTATGAGAATTTTTTTTAAACAACAACAATAGCTAAGCCATGATCATGCACAGTTACTGAAAATATGTGCACGAACTACCAGTTAGCCCAATCGCCGACCTACCAATCCTATCGATTTGTAGTATCATACAAATTATAGCTAAGCAAGAGTGGCTGTGATGTGATCTTCTGAATATCAAGATTTTCACAGGAATATGGAGGTTACCAGAAGGCACTCATAAAGCTTATTTTAGTTCTTCATGGGTCAGCTTCAGATTCACTGGGTTGAATTCAGCATCCACCATAAGTGTCAGCTTAAGTTTTTAATCCATTATTTGAACCTGGGGTATCATATAGCACAACACCACATAGTCACAAAGAGAGGGAAAATTTAATAAAACTATGGAAACTCTCGTGGTCTTGTTCAATGTAATAGTATATATAATATACATTTTAGAGAACGAAAACTATAGTAGAAGTGATAGGCAGATAAGAGTTACAGTTCCAACATCATGAAGCATGCAAATAATTGAACTTGGGTTCATTGTAGAATTTCGGGTGCCAAACTGCCAAAGCATTAACTTTCTAAATGATTCTTTTTTTTTGGAAAACCTCTAAATGATTATTAACACAGAAGTAACTGCATAATTGTCTATATCCCCTCTTTCTTATAGAATTAAAACAGCAGTGCTTTGAAGCAGCATTCCACTCATAAGCTTTGATATGTCTCGCCTCACTCAACATGCTGACTGCAATTCAGCCAAAACATTTTGCTTCTGAGGAGAGAGTTAAAGCTGCACGGCATCAGAGCACCTTTCTTCAATGGGTCGGGAACACGATATCAACAAGAAAATTTGCACTAAAATATAGAAGAGAGAACAAGTTTACACTGCACATGACACGGACCCAGAATTGTTTTGAAAATCTTGTCATTTCTGCCCGCTAACAAAAATCTCCCGGGTCAAAAGCCACACCCGCAACGATCTGATGCACTGCACCCTACAACAATTGATCTAATTCGTCAATGAATGAAGCACGCAATGGGCCACCCCTCTCCCGCATGCCACAGCAACACGGCGGAGAAAGGCTCTTCTGACGCGCAAGCGGTGTCCCCCAAAACGAATGCAGCCTGCACAGCATCCGGAAGCCAGATGAGCACCCGGCAACCCCATTGTCTCATACGCGCCTCGATCCCAACCTACGAAGGATTCCGCACACCACCCCCTGAAATGCGCGACGCGCACCGATAGAAGAGCGGAGGCGGCAATGCAGCTCACCTGCGGGCACGGGCGGCCCGGAATCTCACGTCGGCGCGCGCGGAACTGACCCTGCCACCTTCCTCTTCCTCTCTTCTGTTCGCGCGCGTTCCTCTCGATCCCCTCCCTCCCTCCCTCCCTCCTGGCCTCCTCCTCCGCTCCGGTCTCCCCGCTCTATTTTCTCTCGCTGCTCAGGCTCGTCCCTCACGCCCGCACTTTCTCCGGGAAATTCCGTGGCACGGGCGAGCCCAGGGAAATACACAGCCTAACGACCCTCAGCCTCGCTGCATCCTAGGACCGCAGCCTCCGGGCCCGACGTGTCAGAGCAACGGTACGATTCCCCTCGCGTTCTCCACGTTCGTTCCGCCACGAGCTAGAGCGGGCGTGCGGACCGGGTCAAGCGACTGGGTCCGTAGGATCTCGATGGTAGGCACGTGGCGGCAGATCAGGCGTTCACCCGGGGTGACAATTTTGTGCGGGCGGAGTGGGAAGCACGTCCTGACGAAAGAGCAGAGCCGTGGGGATGGGCTTGCAACCATGCACTACAGCTCTTGGCGCGTGGGCCCCGATGCCACGCTTTTCCCACCTGCTCACCGGCCGTTGTACGTATACACTGTGGAAGTATCCTGTATTCCTGTGTGGTCTCTTTTATCACCACGTTAGCGTTAGCTTGGTTGATAAGTCATGACTGAAAGTATTATTGGCTAATTTGTTGCGAGAGAAGAAAAAGTATGATTTAGGATTCTCACATAATGATTTCATCACAAATGTGCGTGCAACAATCCCTGTCATGGGCATGATGAGTGCACGACCAAAAAACCCGTTCCGTTGGAGCAGCCAGCAACCAACCTGTTCGGCTGCATGCTTGCATCGTCCATGCCACCGGTCCGTCCGAAGTCCGAACGACCCCCCTGAGGCCCTGACTGATCTGAAAACCAATGGAACTTCAACCGGAGGACCGAGATCGACCCATGGCAGTGCACATCAGGACTGCAGTGCAATGGCAAAACCGCAAAAGGACGGTACCTGCTGTGCCATGCAGCATGCAAAGCCATGTGCGTCACGGATGACCCCGGGCCCTCTTCATGGCCGCAACAGAACAGACGAACCACAGCACCACTCTAAATAAACAAGCAATGCTAGGCATACGTACAAAGCGTGACAAACAGTGCCGCCAGGGACAAGAAATGCACCTAGCAGGAGCAACCAACCCTTGGGATTCGTGCCAGAAGCGGCGTGGTAACTTGAAAGTTGAAACGTATAAAGAGTTTTGAAATCCGATTCACAGCCACAGAATTTTAAGTACATGCATTGGTAGTGAGACATTTATCAGATTGCTATATTCAGTGCAGTGTAAGCGTTTGATAGTGACTCGTGCAGAGTTTACCAGTGCTGGTGAACAATGACCACTGTTTCACACGCTCTAGCAAAAGCGCATCTGCTCTCAGTTGTCCCCTCTTGGTTCGTCGTCCTCGTCGAGATTGATGCCTGAGATGCTCATTTTCCCTATATTTACTGCAAATCAAGGAAGAATGAATGAAATGCTACAACACGGTTGTGGCCACAGCTGCTGGAAAATCTAGCTGTTGAATGAAAATCCTGTGCTACTGATAAGGGGTTGCACACTGTGTAGCACTTTGTGTCTTTGTATAGACTTAGGGCCTGTTTGCTTGGAGGAATTCTGAAGGAATTTGGATGGTTTGGAGGAATGCTGGAGGAATTTGTGAGAGAAAAACACTGTTCCGGATAAAAAAAGAAGCGGATCAAGCCGGGTTTAAAGGCACACAAACGGGGCCTTAATGGTTATCCATGCTATCCAATGCTGTTCATCCGAGCAGATTTCGTGCATGCATGGCATATTTACGCTAAATTACTGGTATTCATGTTGAACATTTCTCGTAATTTATGCAGAGTCTTAGTGCTTACCAACTGCATCCAGTCCACATAGATTTGGCATGTATTTGGCAATATGATCTTCGGCGTCTTTATCAGCCTTCAGCGTCTCACATTCAAAAGAAAGCAAGACTTTCTCATTTCCATGTTCCTTCTCAACCAAGCCCACAATGTCATCTTCCCACCTGCATAGTAGTTTATTTGTCTTAGGGAAACTGAAATCATTCTAGGAACTCAATAACAGATATAAATAAATATCTACATTGCAGTGAGGGTTCATCCACAGCATGGGGAGCATCAGTCCTAGAGAATTTAGCATGGGATTACTTACAGAACAGAAGCATCAGTGTTGGCACATTAATTTTATTCAAGGCACCACCATGCAACTGTTTACTGTTGTCCAAAGAATCACTATTATCTTGTAAAAGGATGACATGTTTGAAGAGTTTTTTGTACTAAAAAACTCATAGATTGCCAAGTTGGACTTCAGAAACCAAAAAGAAAACTAAAAAAAGGGAATAGGGGTTTGAGTTCATCAATATTCAAGTGTATCAACTAAGAAAAGAACTTAAGCATCAGTCCATTATGCAGCTAAGGCTTGCTCTAATGTTTGACTGATGTGGCACTGTGTCGAAAGGACCTTGTTGGGTGGGTGAGTCACCTGGGCTGTTATGGTTAGGTTTTTTCACTGGTTTTCCTTTAATTAACCATGCGGTTGTATGGTTTTTAGGCCCAGATTCCCTCATAAACCAGGTCAATTATTTCTTCTTAAGTGAGTTGTAGGAGCTCTGTGCCCTTTCCTAAGTTTCTTTGAAACAAAAAGAAAAGGGACCTTGCTAGCTTGAAAGCACTGGACATGACTCATGGTATGTAGATGCCAGACCATCTACATTAATAAGCAGTTATAAATTATGAAAAAGTGTTAAAGTAGTAGCACATCTTCGTTACAAGTAAGATTAAGAGCTGATCAGTCATAGCTCTTTGACTGCTTGAAAAACACGCCAAAATGAAATAGTTAAATAAAAATCCCTAAAAACAGATACATTTTACATATAGAGCATGCTGAGATTATCAAGCACATAGCTCCACAGACATCTTGAATCATCTAATCAGAAAAGACTGTAAGTTGGTATGCTTTGTGACACACCATGCCTGACCTCCCATATCTAAAGTTGCAGAATAATGAACTAATCATTGCGGTGTTGGCATCCAAGATTAAGAGATGATAGCAACTTGGTAAATATATATCAATGCTAACAGACTAGATGCACCACCAAAATGTGTAGTGTGTGCAGTGAATCTGTTACACGATTTGGACAGTGGAGGTCAAGCATGTGTCAGAAAACTTAGCGGTACTCCAAGCCACTATCATTTCTAGATTAGATTACTCTAAATGTCTGGCAAAACATGCCCTTGATAAGTCTAGCTCAAAGACACTACAAAAGAACTTTGCTGAAAATATAATGTGATGCAATATGGTACTTTACATAAAATTGTTATGTTCCAGAAGTGCCCAAAATAATAAGACAAGAATTCCTAGCATAACATGTTAATTGGAAATGGGACACAAGAAGCCATATAGATTATCCGTTCATGCACACCGACAGAAATCTATGCAAATCCTCACGTCTGAGCAACAAAAACACCACTTGATATTGTTTGACAAAAGGTGAATTCAGTAGCACCAAACTGAGCTCTGAAATCTAATAATAAAAATTTACCCATGCAAATGGTCAACGTTTTGTAATCGAGCAGCATCATGGCCCCTGCATTCCACCACAAGCACCTTCTCTCTCTTGCTCTGTCACATCAGCATCATAGATTGATGAGAAAAGCTAACCTCAGCCTAGAAACATCATACATTCTGGAGAAAGTTATTCTCTGTTGCACAAATTGCACAGTTTAATGAGAAAAATTAGCCTTTATCACAGAAGCCACATAGTTCCATGACAAAAGATTATCTCTTTTGGCTCCGTTGCACAGACTTCACAGTTTCATGAGGGCACACATTAAGCCTACTGCTTGAGCCTAGAGCACAAAATGGTTGTAGGTGAGGTATGGGTTCAAGTTCCCCATTCCCCTCTTAAAAAAAGAACATGTCATTTTATCCTTCTGAAGAAAAGCTTGTCCAACACCGGTTGAGATGGTTTGGACATGTGCAACGGAGACCCCCAGAGGCACCGGTGCGTAGTGGCATCCTAAGCCAGGATAGTAACGTGAAGAGAGGCAGAGGAAGACCGAAGTTGACTTGGGTAGAGGCAATAAAAGGAGACTTGAAAGGATGGAATATACCCAAAGACTTAGCCTTAGATAGGAGTGCTTGGAAGACAGCTATTCACGTGCCTGAACCTTGATTGCTTCTGATGGGTTTCAACTCTAGCCTACCCCAACTTGTTTGGGACTTAAAGGCTTTGTTGTTGTTGTTGTTGTTGTTGTAGGTGTAGGTGTATGATCTTTTTACATCAACTACGATGGACCAAAAATAACCAAGATAGTTTTTTAGTTAAAAACAGGATTATTGATTAGTACAAGATATGGTTGATGAAGCAAAGCAAATACATAAGACATGCCTCACCTTAAAATCAATGATGGTGAGCTTTATAAGGCGGTAGTCCTCTCCTCGGCTACATTCCCTCTCACAAGATATTGCTTACATAATAGAAAAGGGGAAAATAACAAAATAAGCTAATATCTACTTGTGACAATATAATTTCAAACTTATCAGATGGTGAACTAGTGCAAAGAACAAAGTATTCCCAACCAACCATCTCAAATCCACTAAAATAATTAAGAACATGTTATCTCACCAAAGCTACCAAGAAGATCAAAGTGACTAATCTAGCCCCTTTTTACTGAATGTAAAAAAATCAGTAACATAAAAGGAAAGCTCCTAGTTCAAGACGTTATAGAATTTTATACATATTTTTTATTGCCAAAAAGTGCTGGGTGTAAGAGCATAAATGTTGGTCTGGTGACTGGTATTGCTCGGGATGGTGGCACCAAAAAGAGGTACTAACATAACTCCAACAGATGAGAAACCCTCTTATGATATATAACACTACCATTGATCTTGTGCGTTGAAAAAAAAATGTTTTGGTGATTTTTTTTTAGAATGAGAACAGCATAACAATATTTTTCTCAAGTGTGAAACTTGGAAGGAATCAGTAACAGCTGCAAAGGGAATAGGGAGAGATGAATACGAGTGCCGTGTAGCCCGTAGCAGATGGAGCCCGGGAGCCGAATGAAATGGCCGGAGATGGCACCAGTAGGCAGCAAGGCGATGGAAGCGACGCCTTCCATCGTCACGCCGGCATCGCCTTCCTCGACGACCTGCCCCGCCTCAGCCACCGGCTCCGGCGGCTGGTAGTTGCCATTGATCGTGTCGCCGGCATCGCCCTCCTCGACGACCTGCTCCGCCTCTGCCGGCGGCGGCGGCTGGTGGTTGCCATTCGCCTGGCAGTCCGAGACCAAGCCCATTGCCCCCCAGCGCCGAACACCGACTGCGCCAGCGCCAGCGCCACCTTCAGCTGTTGTTAACCAAGCCCGAGAAACGGGTACGACGTGGGGAGGGAGAAAAATGCACTCACCTCGTCCCAGGGCTCGACAGCCGTCAAATCCTCGGTGGGTGGGCCTTTTGTGGCCGGCGCCGCCACCAACGTGATCGGAGCTGAAGGGAAACGCTGCTGCGCGACCGCCGCCGCCTCCCACCGGCGTCGGCTCGTCCCTTCCCGCTGGCCGCTGCCCTCCTCGATAGTGTGTAGAAGGAACAATTTGGAAGGGCCTTTAAGCCTTTCTACACATGTTTTGGGCCACCGTTACAAAGGCCCTATCTGGCCCTATCGTGACTGCGCCCCGAAAGACCCCTAGGCCCTAGCCCCTCCCGTTCGCGCCGCCTCCCACACACACTCGCGGCTCGCGCAGGCAAGGCGCCGTCGCTCAGCGGCCGCCGGCGACGAGCCTCCGCGGATGCCAGCGGCCCTACCGGCGAGACGGTGAGTTCTTCTTCCTTCTCCACCGACGGGACAGCACGTGGATCCATCGAGGCGGCGACGGCGAGCGGCGACTGCTGATAGGTGAGTTTATTTGCCTTCTACCTCAGCCCTTCCTTTAGTTTATTTGACTCCAATTTCTCCTCTACAATCCGCAGGTGCTCCGCAGGAGAGCCTAGCCACGTCACCTGAAAAACCTCGGTATTCCGTTCCGTCTTCTTCCTCCTTGCCTCTCCTTTTTTGACCCACCCGGCTTTCCCAGTCGGCCAGTCCCCACCCCCAAGCCAGCCGAATCTTACCGATTCAGCAATCGAGCAAATCGATCTCCGTGCAATTCCACCTCCCAAACCGAATCCCTCCACCGACCCAAACCCTAGCGCGGACCCACGTCCCGTCCCCTTTCCCCGGCGTTTGGGCCGGTGTCGGTGATGCGGGCGGTGATGCGGGCGTTGCTCGCGGACGGTGGGATGGCGCTGGCGGTGGCGCCGGAGGCCAACGAGTCGTCGGGCGGCGCTGCGGTGTCGCTGGGGCCGTTATGGTGGGCGTCGGAGTGCCACGGGGTGCTGTACAGCCTGGCGGTGATGCTGCTGTCGCTGGCCTTCGTGGGGTTCCTGGCGTGGCAGGCGCGGCGGAGCTTCCGTACGCTCAGCTACGGCCGCTCTCACGTCGTCGTACTCGCGTACTACGTGCTCCTCTGGGCCGTCGCCGTACTCAACCTCCTCTGGTGCTTCCTGCAGGTTCGGATTGGCTGCCATTGTTGCTTATCGCTAAGTCCCGTATTGCCTGGTTATGAAACTCTCCGTGCTTTGATTAGGTTGTTGATTTGGTCATTTGATGTTTATTAGGGGAATGCTTTCCATGAGAAAAAAAAAAGTACTATGACTAGTGAAAGTCAGGGGGAATTCCATCTTGAAAAGTAGGGGCAAGTGGAGCTAACGAGAGATGAACTTGGTGGTGACAATGAGCTATGAGAAATCTATACCAGATCATGAAACTTTTGAATTGTATTTTCAGGTTTGACTGATAATCAGTAATGTTTGTATGTTTTGCTAGTGTTCGATTGCTGAGTAGAATAAGTAGGTAAAAGACTGGAAATTAAGTGAACTTTTGGTGAACATGAGTTGTACCTGTTTTCCTGAGTAGTCTTCTGATGTTTCAACTTGATAATGGAATAGCTGAAGACCGCATCGTGATTGAATCCTATGGGTAGGATGGGTAGGCTAGGAGCTGGTCACTGGTCAGGGAATCTCAATGTTGAGCCAGTAGCAAGCTTTGGTGGGTTTCAAAAAGGAAAGAGCAAGTTCCTGGTGGTCATGTGATAGCTGGTAATGATGAACAGGTGGCAAGATCTGCTGGGTTAAGGAAAAATAAAGTCCGTGGTAGCTGGGTGTTGATGTCAAATAGTACTTCACATTGATCTGGTTATTAGGCTTAGATTTTCATGTGCACATCTTGGTATTGTTACTAATATAAGTGGATTAATCCATATTTAGATTTGATATGGTCCTGCTGTACAGAACTACAGAAGGAAAATCAAATGAACGATCCTGCCTTATGAATCCAAATTTTCATTTTCATTTTTTTTATATTGTGTATTGCCTGTATCTCTTATCTAAGTATGGAACATATTTTCCCCCAAATGGCAGGCATGGCAATGTATGCCTGACAGGGCATTTTCTTGGAATGTACTGTCACTGTTTACAAAATCAGGAATGTTATTCTTGGAAGTCAGTCTCATAGCCTTTCTACTTCAAGGAAATGATGCCAGTGGTTTTGAATCTTTGGCACGAACCTTTGTTATCTCTGGAGCTGTAGTTGCTGCTGACGTATTGCTCAAGGTATGATTCTACTCCAAAATTCAGGCATAGTGAACAGTGATTAGCTTTTCTTAGAAGTGATGGGTATTAGGGTTCTTTAGTTCTTGAAGGTTTTGGGATTCAACTAGAATTTTTTGAGATGCTGTGTCATATTTTCTTTCTTAGATCTATAGGTTAATTGACAAGTGTATCTGGTCCGTAATGTTACTTTATTAGAAGAACATAATATGTTTGGAAAAAGTCTACTTAACCCAACCCCCCATCTTTCATACTTTGTCTACTTCACCCCCCCCCCAACTATGAAACCGTCTGTTTTACCCCCTGAACTTTCTAAAACTGTCTATTTTACCCCCTGGGTGGTTTTCAGTGGCGGTTTTGCTACAGTAACAGCGGGGGGGGGGCTGCAGTAACAGTGGTTTTGAATTTTCTTTTTATTTATTTATTTTCGGTGAATTTTTTAAAAATCGTAGTAAATCATAGAAAAATCATAAAATGAAAAATCTAATTTTATTGGACTCCACATGAGTAGATCTACACAGTGAATATATAATAAGGTATGCTTTAGTACAAATTTTTTTTTGTAGCTTTAGATTAATTGGAAAATCCAATTTTGTCTATAATTAATTAGAATTTATCTATAACTAAGTTATACATAGTCCAATGAGTACGAAATTTTTACTATAGTTCAAGCATACAATAATTAGCGTACCATAAAAATTTCACCACAATTGGACCATAGAAGCTGCAGAATTATTCCGATTAATTACAGACAAAATTAGATTTTCCAATTAATCTAAGGCTACAGTAAAAATTTTGTACTAAAGCATACCGTATTATATATTCACTATGTAGATCTACTCATGTGGAGTCCAACAAAATTAGATTTTTCATTTTATGATTTACTATGATTTTTCAAAAATTCACCGAAAATAAATAAAAAAAAAAGAAAATTCAAAACCACTGTTACTGTAGCAACCCCCTTGTTACTGTAGCAAAACCGCCGCTGAAACCCGCCCAGGGGGTAAAATAGACGGTTTTAGAAAGTTTAAGGGGTAAAACAGACGGTCTCATAGTTGGGGTGAAGTAGACCAAGTATGAAAGGTGGGGGGGTTAAGTGGACTTTTTCCTAATATGTTTCTTATTTCCATTGTTCCATAACAGTGGATTGGCTATTGCAAGCTGGTACTGATTTTCTATCCATAATAGATCTTGCCTGCCCATCTCATGTCACTGCAAAAGAATTTTTTGGCTGCTCAGTGAAAGACAAGCCCCCATGACTTAACCTAACCTGACACACCTAACATTGTGCTTCAATGTGTTAAATCATGTTGCAAGTGGAAAGCGGATTAATACTCTAGTTCCCTTGCTGTAGCCTTCTATGCTATCTTACCTAAGAAACTGACTTTGTCCTTATTCAGACTATATATGTTTTTGGCTTTGGTGTTCCTTTGTTCATTGATGCTGATCAAGGAAATGGTGGGAAATGGGGCCTATGGATTATTCACAAACTTGTGCTTACTGGAGTCTATGGGTTGATTGTTTTCATGCATCATTCAAGATGGAGAGACAGGCTGCCTGGTAATTGGTTACTGTTTTTGTATGTTTCAAAATTCTTTTGTCAGGTGTTTCATGACCATAATCTCGTGGTTGCTTTACTGCAGCAAAACCTGCATACTACAACTATGTATGTGTGATGTTGCTACTGAATGGCATATTACTGTTTGGATGTTTCCTTGTTGCAAGTGGAGCTGGATTTGGTTTATGGTACATATAGAACACTATTTTCAAAGTTTATGGTAACTTATTCACCTTCAAGAGCAATACTTGATGATGACCCCTTTTGCTGTAGGTTATATAATCTCACAACCGTATGCTATCATTCTCTTTACCTTCCCCTCCTGTATGTGACTTTCTTAGCGGACTTCTTCCAGGTACCTTCTTGCCTATGATCTGTTACTTTTCTTTTGTGTAGTGCTTCTTCCTTTAGTCCCTTAGCTTGTGTACTGGTATATTTGTCTGTGGCTTGTAATAGTATTATTTGTCTTTGCTGATTTATTTTGTATGTGTAGGAGGAAGACATGCTCCTAGAGAACGTCTACTATTCTGAAATGAAGGATGCTGGATTCTTTGATGCTGACTGGGATTAATATATGGCTACCGCGGAGTATGACCATTCCCATGTGAACTACGCTGTGCTTTTTCTTAATCTGGTGTACTCTCAACTTAGAACAGAAAATGTATGTAGCTAACCGTGGTAATGAATGGAAATATGTAAATCTTACTGCTGCATACTTCAGATTTCAAGTGATTTCACCGTTGAGATTGCCACCCCAAGGATGGGTGATAAATTCGTTTTTTCTTGAATATTCAGAAGGATGTTTGGTTCCTGATCATTTTTTTCGCCTGAATAATTGGTTGGTAAAAGCAAAAAGGATGGAAATATGTACTGACCCTGCTCCGTGCAATGCGTTCTAAAGGTCTTGTGCTAGATGTTTGCTTATTTAATTCGTTGGTTAGGATGTTTTGTTGGGAGGGGTACTGTAAGCGTGAGACTTTCTATGAAGTTTCTCTTATACTTGACTGTATGCTGGAATGTCTCCAGCAAACAGCACATGTCAGCCAGTGATGTAGCTGTATAATCATGCAAAAGTCCAGATTGTTGTCTGATCATCCTTGAGCTATTCAACTAGCTGTCCAGTAATACATTGACCTACTCAACCTTCACCAGGTCAGTTGGCACTGATGACAACAAATTGTCCTGTTCATATGCTTTCTTGGCTCGTATATATGACGTCAGTTCCTTTTAACTTTTCAGGGGAGGAACTAAGCTATGGCTACCATGAACCACTTTACGTGGCACAAAGATTCAAGCAGTCCAAACAAGATTATTGTGATGAGCCTAAAGGTATGCTCTTTGGCTTAAGATTTTCTTCCCTTATAGACAATACAGTTGTTGAATTTTAATCCGTCATTAATTTTGCATTGTGCTTTTCTTTCCGGTAGAAATTTTTATATGCTAAATACCATTGGACTTTAGTTTTCTCAGTGTCACATTTATACTGTATAACATTATAGATTTTGGTATGTTCCCCACTCCCGTCAAAACTCTAAACTAACATCAGGATGTAAATAAGTTTTGGTGTCAATTGAAAGGTTTCGGGATGCCTCTTCATTGTATTGAATGATTAGAAGAGCATGTATGCAGGACAGTGTATTTGTGACTACCTAAACAACGTATTGCCCTTCAGTCATCGGTAGTCAAGTATATTGCTCGGCTGATTTTTATAACTAGTTATCTTTGATTAAATAGGTGTGATGGACCTGTAATGGCAGAGGTTTCAAAGATTTTCCATTGTACGGGTTATCAATGGCTCTTCTAAATCAACTGCTGGCATCAGATGAAAACAAGTTGGTGCTAAATAGATGCCTTTGGTACGTGCTTGGTAACTCTTTTCTATTGTCCTTCACTTCAATAAGTTGTTTATGCTGTTCTTGTTGTTTTTAATCTGGCTGTTAAATTTAGGAAGAACTTAATGCTCACAAGGTTTTGACCATCAATTATACTATTTTTTTATGGCTGTTATACTTTGGAATTTAAGGCTTAAAATTCTTATTCTCCACCGCATGACGTTGCGATATAGGTTTATAGTCATTGGTTCTGCAACTAGTTGCTGTGTAGGTTCTTGACAACAATTCAATTGTTACAACTTCCGAAGTCAGAACTCAGAACTAGGTTTTGAACAACTGTTATCAAGTATTAACAGTGCAAATCAGCTCGTAATGTTGAAGTAATACTCATTATGTGTGAATTTTCAGGGTGCGGTAACCCCACTATTTTTATGGTGCTGTAGCTAGGATGTCAGAGGTGGTATGATCGAACACTTTTCCTGTATATAGCTGTTTGGATCAGGCTATATTTACAGTATGATAGGATTCATCTAGCCTGAGATATTCAGTATGGATAATTGGTTCCATAGTACTGCCTTGTGCCAGAGTATATACTCCGTACAAACTTACGAAGCATCACTGTTTACTGTAGTCTACCATAATATAATCCTTATTCCTATATACCGCTTCTGTTTCGTTACGCTGCCACGTCATCGCCTCATACCAACCTTCTGATCTCAGATCCAAAGGCTATGATTCCTTGGAGCGACTTGGAGCCAATTCCGTGCAGAGCTGCTTCACATGGCTTCTCTTTCCTTCTCCTGCTTCTGCTCCACATCAGCACGCCAAAATATTCTACCGGCTCCTCTCCCCCACCCGTCTGCTCTCCCGGTCCTGATGCTTCCTCTCCCGCAGCGTCACGCCGGCGCCCCTCCCTCCCCCGTCGTTCCCAGCTGCCGCCCCTAGCGCCGTCCCCGGCAAGGCCGCGCTGCCGACCGACGTCCGCGCTCCCCTCCCCAAGGTCGCGAAGCCGCCGCTGGTCGACGCGAGCCCCGGCACGGCCAACCCTAGCGGCACAGCCCGGCCCCGGACACCGCCACCAGCAAGGCCGCGCTGCCGGCCGGCGTCCGCACCTCCTTCCCCCTCCCCGATGTCGCGAAGCCGCCGCTGGTCGCCGCGAGCCCCGGCGTGGCCAAACCCTACCGGTGCAGCCCGCCGCCGTCACGCCCGCGTCGCTCTCCCCTTCTGCCTACGGCTTCTGCCCGGCCAACGCCGGCTTCGCTGTTGCCTCACCCGGCCACGGCGCCATCGTTAGCTTGACGGCCGTCGCCCATGCCCATGCCGGACGCAGCAGGGTAAGGACGTCCTTCACTTTGGCCTACCCTGCCCTGCCCCTGCTAGCTGCGTGTTCTATTTCCGATGTCTCCTGCAGATGAATCGTCATCATCCAATTTTCTCACTGCTGCAGAAGAAGGGCGGAGCCAGAGGGTTCGGTGGCCGCGGCCACCTGGGTACGAGGCTGACCAACAGCGGCAACAGCATGGCGCAGCGTGACGAGGTCATCTGCCGCACCGTCTATGTCTCAGGCATCGATCACCAGGTCCCGATTCAATTTTTCATTATGTGCCAGTTGGGCTCCAATTTTCAGAAGAAAAAATGTTAGGGCACGGCATAGCGTAGCTTCAGTTGTCAGATCCCTTGCAGATGCCTTGACATATTGTTATGTGCCTGTGCAATAAACATGCATGCAAGTGTCCATAAACTGATTAGGCCGTGCCATGCCATGAAACAATGCATTTTACTTAAGGACTTCACTTGGGGAAATAGGTCATTTTTAGTGGATCCTTCCTTTGGGTGCTCAAGAGAAACAGACCCAAGAGTTACGGACTGTGTACTTACTGAAAAAATTATGAATTAGCAGCGAGATATATCATTACTCATTATCGTGTTTCTTAAAATGACCAATTATTGATGCAGATTTTAATTCCTTCATGTTTATATGGGGCAGCGGCTAAAAGGATTGCAGTACATAGACCCCCTGAGTTGCATTTTGGTGCCACAGGTTATGCTGAACCTGTGGATATTTGGTCTGTTGGTTTCATATTTGCGGAATTTTTACTTAAGAAACCATTATTTCCTGGCACAACCAAGGTATGATGCATACACTTCTTCTCCTTTGTTCTCTTGCTCCTGGTGCTATTTTTTCCTATAATAAGTGAATTAAAATGTACATCAAATTTGGTATTGTGAACATTGAACATGATGACTGTGCAGGTATCAGCATCTGATGCAGTTCGCTCTTCTATTGGTTTCACATGCCAGTGACATTATTATGCCCATTAGAACCAGACAACAGCTACTGCGTTGAAAAGCTACTCCACATGACATTTTTCCTGGGTATAGCTCTTCTACCTATTTTCTTGCTCGCCTTGGAAAGATCTTCATTCTACCCTTTTTCCCTGTAAATTAATGATGCCTATTTGGCTATTTTTCTGCATTCTAAAATGTAGTCAGTTTTCCGTATATGAGTACTATACTGTGCAGTCCTACAGATAGCAGTTCTACACATGTCAAATCAACTTATCATTTTTAAGGGCGTCACAAGGCCCCTTATATGGTCTTATTAATGAAATTGACATATGGTTTAGTCCATACCACAGTAACACACTCCAGAGTATCATTGAACCAGAAAAAATCTACTACCCATGTTATGTATAGAGTAAGCCAGTCATATATTCTGTCGAGTTTTATGATACTTTAGATTACTAACATTTGTTTGAGTTTAAATTTGTAATACAAAACAAGAATACTAAGTGATAGATTCATTTGTTGCTAAATTGTGAAAAAAAACATCTTCATCTTAATTCCATCACTACCAGAAACTTGAACCCAATGTTCTTGAAAAGCTTTGTTTACGAGTACCGTGTCCTGTGCTACTGTTTTGTGCTAGGGTGTTCAGTGGCTACAGTTTCAGACATCATGGTTATGCGGCATTGCCAATGTGATATCGAATTAATAATTTTGCATTCCAGCTTAAAGATGGTTTATACGTTCCATGCTCTATTTGGATTACCTGCACGCAGTAATATTGATTCTTAATTGCTCGCAAGAGATTACAAATCGATAGATTCATTTGTTGCCAAATTCTGAAAAAAATTCTTCATGGTAATTCCATCGCTATCAGAAATTTGAGCCCAATGTTCTTAAAAGCTTTGTTTAGGAGTGCAGTGTCCTGTGCTGCTGTTTTGTGTTAAGGTGTTAATTCCATCTTCGACTCACGAATGGCTCACTCATGGATGATGCACAGCACATGCTCAACAAGTTGGCTCCGCACCAATTTTGTTACTAACCAAATAACCATGCTCAGGTTTCTGCATGCACAATAATGGAGGTGGACATATGTACTGTTTAGCAAGTTCTATGTGTTAAAAGAAGCAAAGAAACAGGTCGACAAGGTGACGAGGGACATCATATAGATGGATCATGAACATTCAAGTGTATTCAAGCATATGAATTCAAACTAGATTTTGATACTAAGAGTTAGAGGAGAAATTTGATTTTACTACTAGGATCATGAATTCAAGCTGAGTTTTACCTCTATGTTTCATGGAGAGTTGCTTAGTCTAGAAGTAATGTGATGTCATAGCATATGTCATATACATGATACTAGAAGATACTAAGGTGTCCTATGAGTTGTTTCTTAGGTGTCATTGAGTAATATATTAGCTGTCATGTTAGTTGTCATCTAGTAGGCTATTAGTTGTCATATTAGGTGTATATGAGTTGCGTAAAGTCTCATAGCCTATAAATAGAGGCAATGTCCTCAAGTTTTGTAACTTTTGTCTTGTATTTTCCACCATATGAATAGAACTCTAGGTTTCTATCTTAAGATCTTGGACTAGATCTTGTTCTTGAGCTTTGGATTGAGCTTGTATTATCCGTGGATTTGGATTGTTGTCTGTGGATTCGGACTGCCCTTAGAGCGTTATCTACTAGCACGTTGAAGCTGTTCCTTCAACACTTGTGCTATTTCTATAAATCAGCACCTTGGAGTTGATCCTCCAAAATAGTGTGCTGCATCAGATTGGTATCGGAGCCTTGTTGATCATCTTAGGCTACTATTTTCCTTGCAAGAAATCTGAAAGAAGGTATAGGAAAGATGGAGGAATTGGGCAAGAGGATGGATGCTGCGGAAAAGCAAATTCAAGATTTACTTGAAGCACTCAATATGAGGTTTGATCAGCTAGCAGAAATGATTAGAAATTATATCCCTGCTGCTAGCACTAAAGGTAACTCATCAAAAGATAAGGTTGATCAAGAATGGCGTAAACAAGCTACTCTTGAAGTCAAGCTACAACCAAGGCTTGGTGAGCATAGAAAATCACCTCATATTGATGATCCAGAAGACGAAGATCTTAGTGAACTACAGGAAGAAGATGATCTTTATGAAAATTCAAGGAGGAATGATCGCTATGCAGGAGATACATACAAGGTGAAAGCTGAAATCCCTACTTTTAATGGCAGCGTTGATATCGAAGAATTCCTTGAATTGGCTATATGAAGTTGAGACATTCTTTGATATTATGAATATTAGTCAAGATCGCAAAGTTTCTTTGGTTGCATATAAGCTAAAGGGAGGTGCTGGTGCATGGTGTCACCGTCATCAAGAAGAGCGCAGGTTGAGGGGTGAACCTCGCATAAGATATTGGCATCAAATGAAGGCACTTTTAAAGGCTAGATTTTTGCCCGCTGATTATGAGTAAATTCTTTTCACTGAATTTCAGAATTGTTCTCAAAGAAATAGGTCTGTTTCGGAATATACAGAGGAGTTTTTAAGGCTGCAAGTCAAGTGTAACCTTGCTAAAACTGAAGATCAACAAGTTGCAAGGTACATCAATGATCTCACTGAAGTTATTAGAGATCAGTTAGTCATGCAACAGATTTGGTCGATTGATCAAGCACAAACTCTAGCATTAAAGGCTGAAAGGCATGCCAAGACAAAGAAGATAACTAAATCTCATTCATATTCTCCCATAGAAGGATCTTCAAAAGGCTATAGTAGCAAGATGGAGAAAGCTACTCAATCAAAAACAACGCAACCTGCACAAAAGCAAGCTGTAAAGAAGAGTAGAGCAAAGAGAAACCAAAATGTTGAAGTGTTATAAGTGTGGTGAAGAAGGATATGTATCCATCAAATGTCCTAGGAGGAAGGTAGTCAACACTACACGCCATGAAAGTGATGATGAAGATGATAATGGTGATGGTGAATATGAAGTTGAAGAAGGTGAGGAAGAACAAGACCTATGTGAAGAGGAGGGTGATGAAGTAGTATGTGTAGTTCAACGCCTTTTGTGCTCTACACCCCAACTCAACAACACACAACGAAAGAAGATATTTGAGAGTAAGTGTACTGTGAATGGCAAGGTGTGCAAATTAGTGATTGATAATTGCAGTTGTGAGAATCTGATTTCTCAAAGTTTAGTGAACCATTTGAAGCTTGGAACTCAAGATCATCCAAATCCATACACTATTGGATGGATTAAGAAAGGAGTGAATATGAAGATTACAAAGCAATGCAATTTGCCACTTTCTTTGGGCAAATATTATCGTTCAAATGTTATGTGTGATGTAGTTGACATGGATGCAAGCCATTCTTCTTGGAAGACCTTGGCAATTTGATGTGGATGCTACACATAAAGGAATGAACAATTCTTACTCTTTCATTTGGAACAAGCGAAGGATTATAATCCTACCTAAGAAATTGGATGTTTCTACTTCTAAAGTAGAGAAAAAGAACATGTTAGTGTTTACACCAAAATCTAAAAAGAAGAAAGCGGGAACTCGAAGCTTCTAAAATTGTATCATCAAGGAATCGATCAGATGTGAATCGATATCGGCTGGTTTTGATGCAGTGTCGGAATCGGCTATTTTATAGATGACGTCATTAGACGACGTCAATGGACTACGCACGGATGGCGTCGGGAAAAAATATGTCGGACTCTACAAAAAGGAAAAGATTAGAGGCCTAGTTATTTTTAAGTTAGGAATGTTTTCTTTCGTTCCAAGAATCGTAATGAGTCGTATTTGAGTAGGATTCATGTTCAGATTCCGGGTATAAATATTGGACCTCGGTTATTGTAAAGACACGAATAATCAATCAATACAATTACTTTTTTTGGCTTCACGCCAACCCTTAGGAGTAGGAGTACTGTAGATCTCGACGAGTTCTTCAACAAGTAGAACTGCATCGACTGATCGACCTCCGGCTTGTCTGTGAGTACCGTCACGACTTATATTATGCTTGTAAAGCTGCATCAGCCGATTGATCTTTTACGAGTATAGTATAAGTTAGTTCTCGATCTGTATCATTATTTGTAAGACTGCATCAGCTGATTGATCTCTTACGGATCATAATATAGATCAAAGTTTCTCGATCTTGTGTTAAATAACTTGTTTAATACAATATCACCAGTTATCGAACCTTCTAAGATTAGTAAGATTTTCCTGACTGTTCTTGGTTGATTCACCAGTTATCGATCTTGTTATAATTAATGTTCCATTAACCATAACAAATCATCTGATTGAGATAGAGATAGATCGGCATCATATCATCATAACTGGTCGTTTTCTAGTCTGGTCACACTTTGAATCTCATAATTGATGGCTTAATTCTGCTAGATCGGTTGTTTTATCTCTATTCCAATCAAGCATAGTATGCATTATGAGATCTAATCTAATGACACCACCATAGTTGCATCGATCCGGTCGAACCTCACTGGTAAGATTTTAGATTAGAGATTATCGATTAGTGGTTTTGTTCGTGATCGAGATATGTACTTTGTTTGTTTGCTATGCATGCATCGGCTATTTTAGCTGATTCGCATGTGCCTTCACACATATAGCATGTTTTTTTTCATAAACCTGTCAATATATAGATGGTTTTATGGATTCTTTGGCTTTAGTTTGTTATCATTATCATAGCTGTATCGATCCGGTCGAACCTCACTGTTGATGGTAACAGATTAGATTCGGAGCGTTTGTAGATTCGTTTGTACTAGATAGTCGATTTGTTCGTATGTTATATCTTTCCTCGTTAAACTTATCGGCTCAATGCTTTACACTGGTTATATCTATCTAGCCGATGATGTTACTTATATCTGGGTGCATTATACTTGTTATCATAAATCAATCATGACTCACGAACATCACAAGTCTTTAACAGTCGATTTCATCTCGTATCGGCTATTTAGTCGATTCTTCTGTTTGGCTGCTCTCGAAGTAGCACACTTAGAACTATTTGGACAAAACCGGCATGTTTCACCCTA